ACCGGACGCTGGCCCTCAGCGTCCGGTCGCCCGATGGACGCCACGCGTCACCAGCTTCAAACGCTGTTCGTCAGATTTCAACGGATGCAAAGCTGACCGGACGCTCCGGTAAAACTGACCGAACGCTGAAGCCCCAGCGTCCGGTCGTTTCTAGTAAGCTCCCCGAGGCATGTTTTTTCGACCGGACGCGTCCGGTCCACCTTGACCGGACGCAACCAGCGTCCGGTGCTCAACCCTAGCCACTGTGCCGTCTGACAGCTCGACCGGACGCAGCCTTTCAGCGTCCGGTCACTGAGTGACCCAGCGTCCGGTCAGTAGACGACGCCAGCATCATTTCGATCAACTCCATTTCAACTCTTCTTCACCCTTGCTCAAGTGTGCCAACCACCAAGAATTTTGCATCCGGCGCAATAGAAAATAGACATTTCATTTTCCCGAAAGCGACCCAAACCCATCTCAACCCTACAAACACCTTGTGCACATGTGGTAGCATATTTACACAAATATTATCAAGGGTGTTAGCACTCCACTAGATCCTAAATGCATATGACATGAGTTAGAGCATCTAGTGGCACTTTGATAACCGCATTCCGATACGAGTTTCACCCCTCTTAATAGTACGGCTATCAATCCTAAATGTGATCACACTCTCTAAGTGTCTTGATCACCAAAACAAAATAGCTCCTACAAGTTATACCTTTGCCTTGAGCTTTTTGTTTTTCTCTTTCTTCTCTTCAAGTTTAAGCCCTTGATCATCTCCATGCTATCACCATTGTTATGTTATGATCTTCATTTGCTTCTCTACTTGAAGTGTGCTACCTATCTCATGATCACTTGATGAACTAGGTTAGCACTTAGGGTTTCATCAATTTACCAAAACCAAACTAGAGCTTTCACCAGCCTAGCTCGGGTTGTCTCCGACTGAGCCGGCTTCTTGGTAAGGTCATTGGTGAGTTATCGTTGCTCACCCGCTGCCCTACTGCCTTGATTGTTGCTGTGGCTCACCTGAACATCGTCGCCATTGCCGCAGGGTGTCCGCCGTCATGGAGAGGTCCTTCTACGGTGTCTCATCTCGTACAACCGCCGCCCATTGTCTCACGTCGAACCCTAGGTGAGCGTCGTCCTCGTAGCTAGGTCAGCAGGGGTCTCGTGTGGTGGGCGTAGGCGCCTGTGCCACTGCTCGTTGCACCGAAGTATGTGGGGATGGCCGAGGGTCTCACCGTTGTAAAGAGGAGAAAGGTCCGAGGGTTCTTTTTACATAAGTGTTGTCGCTAGAAATAGTAACGTGGACTACGGGTTGTTTTGTTCATAGTCCAGGGGTGTTTTTGTATATGTGCCAGCGCGCGCAGGCCTCCTCGCCGTGGGCTGCCTCCGCGCGTGGGCCGCGCCTCACCTGTGGGCTGTCGCGCGCTCACGCGCGCATTGCGCCGCGTGGGCCAAAATCAGTTTAGATTTTTCGTGGAAAATAGAAATAGCTTTTCATTTATAAATCTAAGCTAAACTTTAGTAAATCATATAAAATCATGTAGGCGTCCAAAAATTGTGAAACCAATTTTGTTAGGTTCATAAAATTGTGCTCTATCTGTTAATGTATTTAGTTCATATATATATTTATTGATACCATCGGCTATTAAATTAATTACGAGTGTTTAGTATTATTTAGATTAATATTTGTAGGAAGCTTTGTAGCAAATGGGTAACAGTTTTGTCTATGAAAATTTTGCAGTAGCTCCATAGTATTATTATGTGCCATCTGTAATTTTTGTAGCCCCATAATAATTAGTTTGCTAAGGTAACTAATGAACCCTAGTTTATATGTATAGTAAATAAAAAGGAATAAAGAAACACCTAGAGATTTTATAACTAAAACATTGTGGGAAATTAGCGCCTAGTTCAACAACTTGGATACGTGGCCTAGTACATTAATTGCCAGTGCTAGCTCGTTAGCTTGAGAGGCGTAATCATATTTTAAGAGTTGCGATTGCCGTTGATTATTTACGTCCCTACGTTGCATCCACGTATTTCATGATAGGAGCGATGTTGGATCGCGGAGTCATAGGGAGTAACGGAAGAAGATGGTGACTTAATGATCATGCCACCAAGATGAAAGCTAACTTGGTTATATCTTACCCAGACAAGTCTCGGTGCATAACCCCTATTATTCTGTATTTTATTTTATGCTCATGCATTAAGTTTTAAATAGTTGAATAAAAACTCACTTGCATATATATCTATTTATCCTATGAGTCTTACTAGTATGACAGGATCATGTAGATTGCTATGCCACAGGACTTCGGTAGAAGTCGAGTGATTGCTTATCACTCGCGAGAGATAGGAAAGATATTATTGTTGTCACTATATTATTATCATATGGAATATATATAAAATGATAATTGGAGACTGGACGAAATGGTATTTTGGATCTGGATTTGGTTATGCATTCGAGCAAGGCTCAAATTGCACTTGTTCTGCCTGTGTCGGTTAAGGACCGACCGTTGCATTGGATTCTAGTCAGATCACATACTTATTATCCTGAGCACATACTTGTTTATGGAAGCAGGGAAGGCTCGTTGCACTCTTATCATGGGTTCCGGCTCTTTCTAGACTGACTGATTGGAGGCGGGAAGGTGGAGGTCTAAGCACCACATTGAGTCCAGGACTCAGGTCTGGGGGCTTGGAGTCCAAGTTTGGATGGGGATCTAGACCCCTTGACAGGAGAGTAATAGGTTGGTCCTGCTTGTATCTGGGGTATAAGCGGGACGTGTGTTTTGGGGTACCCAGCTGGGTACATTGATTCATGAATCGCTGGATAATCTAGTACGACTTGTCTACAATCTAGCACCGTAGTAAGAACTATAATATGAAAGATGGAAAAATGGTTCTGATTGCTTACCATCTGCTTGAAAGTAGCACAGGTGCTTACATAGAATGGTTAGTTAATGAACTAATGATGACTGCTAATGAAATTGAATATAAGGATGCACGCTTAGTAATGCTTCCTGCAGATGCAATAACCCACAAGGCAGATACCCTTGCATATCCTTAGAGTCTTTCTTTTCTCCTGACGGTTAAGTCTTGTGGAGTACAATTGAGTACTCAGGGTTTGTTCTACCCTGTTGCAGGTGACAAGAACATGTGGAGCTGACACTTGTGTGTGTAAACCTCCTGGTGGACTCAGTGAGGGTTTCCTTAATATTGCGGACATAGAGTTTATTTGAAACTTTCATCCAAAATATTTTACAATGGAAAACTTATAACATGTTATGATATATATAACGGATCATCATGTTAATGTTTACTTGTCGTTAAATGATTTTATTTCCGTTGAAACTCTGATAACATGGTTATATTCCGCTGTTATAAACAATAAATATTATACTCTAATGTTGCATGGAACGTGATGTAAGAAATGAATTAAGAATGTTGTGAGTTTTATTCTTTCATTTGTGATCCTGATAGAAAAATGTGAATTTTCGGGTTCTCCCTTGTGGTGTGCTCGACGGAACTGCGTAATTTAGTGTCTTCCTTTGAGTACTTAGTGTCTAATAGAAGACAAGTACTCTTGGAAGGCATTAGATTAGGCGGTTCTGCTATAGTGTAGTGGCCATTGAAACCAACGGTGAAAATGATTATCATCGTAGACTCAGTGTCCTAAGGTTTTCACTGTTAGTTCATAACCCGAGGCGATAGCGCAACGTGGACTAAATTAAAGTGGTGAACTAAATTTTGGCGCCTATATTTCATTTCTGGGGGACCTTCTCTTATGTCAACCACCCTGAAAATGCAAGATTTTTGTTGTGCAAATAAGTTTGGAACTTGTCCAAATTTGAACCAAGATGAGACAAAAGTAGAGAGGGCCCCTTCCTTACCACTTTATATACAAATTGTAGATCTCAACGAGATCTATAATTTCATATTTGATAACTTTATCATTTAAAATTGTTTAGAGGCCTAATTTTCATTATAAGTTCTTAAATTTTTTAATTCAAAATTTTGAATTTTGTGAAAAAGCCTCAGATAGAGACATGCTCTATAAAAAAAGTTGCAATACCTAATGAGATCTAATTAAAACATCATAGTTGTCATTCTTTTTCTCTTAAGATCATTTATTAGGCTCAAATGTTTTTTTAAATAGATGCCATGAGTTTGAATCCTCTATAATGCATGAGCGCCGACACTATGTTTCGACAAAAGGGCTACCACTACTTTGATCAGCGAAAAATAATTTCCTCAATAAGGTGGTTAGGCCAAGAACTAATTAACTCGACTTCTCGACCTCAGCGGTCTTTTGCAACACGAATTAAAGATATATGGCGCGCTGAATCAGTGGCCTCCCAGATTATCCACGTACGTTTTATTTAGTTGGTGCGTTAGATAGAAATTCCACGGCTCAGATAAAGCGCGTCATAGACAGCCTTCATGCATCCCCTCCGTACTACCGTCGGATAAAAACAAGTCGGACAGATGAACATTTAATGCCTCTCCTCTTTACCCACCAACCATGCGCCGACCATGCTTGTACGCTCGGCACTGGATGGGCCACCGACCATGCACCGACCGGCATGGCTCCCATCCCGTCTCCATCTCCGGTTCTCATCCCATCCCCATCTCCATTCTTCAGTCGCAAAGGCAACCGACCCCGTTGGCACCAACCCTAGCCAGACGAGCTCCATCTCACCGCCGGCACCGGCCCCTCCCCCGCCGGCCTCCTCCTCCTCTGCTCCTCCCTCCTTCCCCCTGCAACCCTAGCCCCGACGAGCTCCATGACCCTATCACCGCCGCAGCCGTCGGTCGTCTCTCCGGCGTCGGCGGCCACCCCTCCCCCACACGGCTCCCCCTCCCCTACCCCTCCATCTCCCGACGGCGCGACCACTATACCCCGCGACGGCGCGACCGCGTCCGTCCCGCCGGACCACGCCGCGTGGGCTCGCGACCGGCGTGGAGGCGCTCAAGGACTCCATCCGGGGCCTCGACGTGGCCGTGGTTCGGCCGCGCGGAACATGGCCACCTCGCTGCACGGACGAATCGCGTCGTGTCCTCTTCGTCCCCCCCGGTGGCTATGGGTCCAGCTGCGGCAGCTGCGCGGACCGGTGGCCCTTGCCGGCGGTAGCTGCGCGGCGGCGCTTGGGTCACGACCGGCCTCTGCTGCAAGCACTTCCCTCATCTTCATCTCTGCCCAAGCTTGGTACTCCCAAAGGTCTACCTTGCCGCTGTCTTCGAGTAGATCGACGCCGTCCAGGTTCGTGTCCCCTTCTTCTCAGTCTGGATCTGGGGTTCAGTCTCGATGGGGTTGTTGCGGCCTTCTCGATTTGGTTAGGTTTTGACTGACATCTCTGTGTTTCCTTTTCCTGAGGCCCTGCAGCTTGCCGGGAACGCCGCCAAGGATCCACATGGTCGTCACTGATAAAGGTCAGCACTGGAAAGCATGGTTGGTAATTATATTTTTAGAGTTCTGAAATTTTTATTGGATGCTGTAAGCTTGTGAGGAGTTACAACTGTGTTTCCTTTACAAACATTGTACTGATTATGAAAACCATGCATTTATAGGATGTAGTGCAGAAAGGCACTGGAGGTTGGAAGAAGATTGTAAAAGCCTTCGGGAATGATATTTTGTTGGGAAGTGGAGAAATTAACAGAGCTCACTTAGGGCAAATTGTATTTTCGGACCCATCAAAACGTCAGCTTCTAAACCGGTACGCCTTTCACTGATTTCAAATATTTCATCCTTTCACTCTCTGTTTTTATGAATGCAGTAGTACGTGTCAATTTTGTTGTATTATGCAGTATCACATGAGTCAACTGTCCACCTATCATTCTTTGTGTAAGTACTAGTGTTGTTGAACTTTATTTGATTTATTTATTGTTACCATTAAACATGAAAAGACAAAACATTATCTATGCTACAATGCTGGAGAAAATAAACGTGAGTACACTAAAGATGTTACAATTAACTAATTAACTGTGACACTGGTCTACCCGCTTCTCCTTTGTCCTTTTAGCGTAATTTTTCATGTGTACCGCTTGATGACATGATTCCTTCTTACTGCCATTTTCTGTTATTCTTATTTCTGTTAATGTTTCAGTTAGCTGAAACATTTTATTGCCTGCCAGTATTTACCATTGCTAATAGGAGTTGTTTTGTTTTTAGTTTTGTTTTTTTCCCAGTCTTCTGGCGCCACATATTTCTTGGGGCATAATGTGGGAGATAGCAAAGCTATGGATGAAAGGATGCAAGGTTATAATCCTGGACATCCCGCTGCTGTTTGAGATCAAGATGGATCGGTGGACAAATCCAGTAATTGTGGTCTGGGTTAACCCAGAAACCCAGATTCAGAGGCTGATGTCAAGAGACGGGTGCTCTAAAGAACAAGCGCAGAGCAGGGTCAACGCACAACTTGCGTTGGACTGGAAGAAGTCGGAAGCCGACATAGTGATCGACGACTCTAGATCCTTGGATAACACCGCACAACAGTTCCGTGAAGTGTTGAGGAAAGTCTCTGAGCCCTTAACATGGAAGGAACGCTTGTGATCTCGAGATGGCTGATCTCTGTTGTCGTGTGCTTGCGGCAATGGGCGTTTACTTGCCGGAAGAATCGCTATGATCCCGATGAGGTTTAGGAAGCTATGAACGGTGATGTGTCGTTTTAGAGTAGAGGGCGTGCACAATTAAGCTTGTCTGGTGCCTATGCCTCAGGAGGAAATTGAAGGGTTGTATGTGGAGCTTTGATTGATGAAATATTTTTTAGATGACGCATTGTTTTTGCAAAGAGAAATTGCCAAAGTAACACAAAGTGTGTATATAGGTTGGCTGGAGGTGTCTCTCTGTCCGGTGTACCCTTTTCTTTCTTTCTTCTTTTTTAGGAAGTGTACTTTTACTAGTTGATTTTTATTTGGGCCTTGATGGTTCGATTCTGAAACTGCATTTGGGCCTGTTTGCATGTGCGGATATTCTTCCAAACCTCGTGGATGGGCTGGCAATTACAACTGAATTCGGCCCATCCATGTGAATATTCTTGTGTTATCTTGTTATTAGGCAAGTGAAGCCTTAGAGATGACAGTTTTTTTGGAAGTTCTTAGCGATGGCAATTGTGCATAAGTTGGAGTTTGTTAACAGACATGGTCTGCTTGAGGATTGGTTTAGATTGCTTCTTAATAACTTACTCCATAAACATAAACGTAGATGTGATTACTGGCAGAAGCTGTGACCATGAGGTCGTTAACAAGGGCACTTTCACAAACAATTTAAAGGAGTTTTGTTGCGTACAGGCAGAAGGTTACCATACCGCCAGTCATGGCCGAAATCACAGCATCGCTGGTTGTGCAGCGTTCAATCATAGGACTTGTGCCTTCTTCTTACGTTTGGGGAGAAGGGATGGGCAAGGACCGGAGGCATGTCCTGGGCAGGTTGCGCCTCGTCCGGTGCTCCACCGGTCACCACCGTCCGGCGGAGCAGACCTGCATGTCGCCGTTGTCGGCCGGGTCGTACGCGGGCGGAAAGGCGCTCCCCGTCCTCTGGTTTGGTGGCACTGGCACGGCGTCCACAATGGCCGCGGGACGGTACGGTGGTTGGTTGCACAAACAAAACCAAACCTTGTCGCAAATCTCGGCGCGTGAGATGACACGGCCACGAACCCCAAACACATTGCACTTGCGTCGCTGTCCTGCAGTTGCGAGCTCACACAGTCACACACTCTCTACTGGTCACATCACCTGCTCTAGTTCCGTGTGTTCATCCATCTTGGCTACTGTAAACAATGTTATTCTTGACCTTGACAGCAAATGGAAGGAGAGTGAGAGAGCTAGCCGACAAGGACTTCCGGCATTAGCGACTCATCCTTGGAAATTTAAACCGTTGTTAGGGTCACTGATTGATTGCATTGCTGTATGGTATACCATGTGTTTTGGTCAGAGTCAGATTGGTACGGCCAAACAGGACGATGGCACGGACAGTAGCTGCCAACGTACATACATACGTACAGTTGTCAATTGGCAAGCATAGTAACAGCCATGCATGCATGTGACATGCCAACACAAGGTATCCAACCCATAGGCTTGTGTAGTCTACGTCTATTGTTTTGTCGTTGGCAACCTCGCAACGTCGCAACAGCAAATAAAACATATAAACAAGAATACTCCACTTCCGCTATATTTTGTCGATCATGCTGCAAAAGGTTCAGTGGCGCTTCTTTAAGATAACCAACAAACCAGTTCCATAAATTATTGATCCATTTCTGCTGGTTTCAAAAAGCAACAAATGAATTGTGCCGTGCTTGGGTTGTTGCTGCCAACACGGATCGATGATGGGACGAGACAGCCACCTCACCAACGTGTGCTCAAAACTGCATCCAGCATTGGTAGTATGCCCTGCCAGATTGCTGCCGTGCATGAGGTGCATCTCATTGAAGGTACCTGCTATTAACAGTACCAACATTTACTCAAGTACCACATCCTTATCGTGCATATAGTTCACCTGAACATGGGTACACGACAATAACTGCCATGGGGCGTTGCACGCCTGTCATCTCATCTCACTCATTGTAGACGCATTGCGCTGGTGATTGTACGCGGCACGTAAATGGACAGTGGCACGTAGCAGCGGACGGACGGTAGATTCTCGTCATGCATGGTCGGTGTCTAATTAGCATGGTGGTCAGCACGCATGCGAGTACGCGTGCGTGCATGCTGCTGGGGCCTTGCTTGCTTTGCGTGTATGCATAAGCTATCTATTTGTGTGTGCGGGTGCAATGCTGACACTTGGTCTCTCTCCACCCGGCGGCGTTTTTCTCTATGTAACAACAGTGGTTATGAGTGCATGTTCAAAAACCGCTGGTTACGAGTGCTTGTCTGCTTGCCGCAGCATCTGCCTCTGCTGCAGTATGGGTGCATGCAGCATGGTCGGCAAGGTGGTCAGGTGTACGTTGCTTTCTACAGGGACTCGTGGCCATCACATCACGTCAGCTCGCTCCTGTATATGCAGACCATATTACATCTTATTATATTATTTTTTACTATTTCGGTGTAGGTGTAGATTCGGCTCGCATTTGGTGTAAATTAGTTATTCATAACTGGAAATGGACAGAATTACTTCGAATAGTTGCCTGTTTATTTTAAGCTCGACTGATTTTCTATGTGTTTAATTTTGGTTGAATATGTATGCTTTCTATGTAATCTTGCTTTGATGGCCTGCTAATATGCCTTTCATAGAACTTATCTGTCACAACTGTATCGACTAATCGTGGATGTACCAGCAGGACACTTGAATCTCATAAAACCAAATCTGTCGTTGGATTTGAATTCCTTGTCCCTTGTTGTGAAGGGAACATTTGTTGTTTGCATTTTTCCTCGCAATACTCCTCTTATTCTGTGGTCTATGACCCCACCGCCTTCACGGCATGTAAGTTGGTAGTAGTTGCCTGGTTAATAGGTTACGGTGCCGCCTTCGTGTAATTTCAGATTTACGAAATGTGTTGTAGTTTCGCCTAAGGGGAGTTGATCCTAATTCTTTTTTTTTTTTGTAAACCCTCGCGTTAGGAGAAGTACTTGTGTTGTGGTTTTTGCTGTTTCCACCTATAATATAATCCTAGCCAATGTTGTGCTTTAAATCTAAGTGTGTTAGTTGCTTGAGCCCAACTCCATCAAATACTTCTTCCCATTAACATGTCATTGATTTGCTGACCTAGAATAAGCACCATGTAATGACAACCAACCTCTATGTTTGTTTACAATATTGAGACCAACCTTTCGTATCAACACGATCAGAAAACATATTAGACATATGAGCCATATTTCTCAAAAAAATTCCTATACTAAACACATCATCTACAGCGAAGCGCGGGCAGCAATGGCTAGTATGTAGTATCATATGATGAGTGCATGAAAAATGCTCGCGTTGTATGTTGTGAGCTTGCATTGCTACTTCCATTGTTCCATACACGCATGCATTGGCCATCCATGCCCAAGCATGTGCCCGCGATAGATACCTGAAAGCTGAAAGAATGAACATACGTATGCGCCCGTATAGTCACATGAAAGAGACATGAACCGTAGTAGGTAACAGAATTCAGTGACGACTCTACCTAATAAAGCGTACGAACATACGTAGTACGCCCCCGTGCCGTCAGAGAAGAGAAGCTAGCTTGCGCGCATGAAACAAGCCTTCGGGCCCCAGTGCATTGCATGCGACAGGAAGTCTCAGAAGCCGAGAGATTTTGAATTGAACGAAGCCGATTCATATTGCGGGGCCGTTTGGTGCGGCTCATGGCTCCGGCTCCCTCTGCCATGGCACTGTAGAGCACTGTAGGATCCTGTGCGTCCCCGTAGCTCTTGGGGAAATGGCTCCGGCTCCGTCTCGAAACAGCAGCAAATGAAGAGGAGCCGCCGGAGCTGCGTGGGGGTAGACTGCACAGTACTGCTACAGGGTGAGAGCTGGAGCTGGGTAGAGCCTGGCCAAACGGGCCCAATTGCGAGAACGAACACGAAGCGGCCGGGGCGATCTCTGAACAAAAAGATTAGAAGAATGAAGCCGAGATGCTTCGTGTGTGTGGCATGCATGCATGCTTCATGGCAACAATGACTGAATTTGCTTCATAATGATTTTTTTTATTTTGAAATTTGCTTCATGATGAATGAATGGTTCCACGATGGAGCTCCGATCATGTTTTCTGAAAGGCCTTGTGTTTAATTATAATACCCTTTTTAGATCCATTAGCAAATGCTGTTAATAATAAAGTTGCCAGTTATCAAAAAAAATTATTTGTTGTTAGCAGAATGGAACTGGATAATAACTTTATTAGCGGGGCTATATATTAGCTAAGCTACTAGTTGAGAGCTTCATTTGGATCTTTTATATCTAGTACTTAGTTTGGAAAAAACATGCATGTTAATAATCTTTTAATAATTTGGAAGCTGTTTAGGTATTGTTTGGCAGAGCGTTAAACCTTCTCTGAAAAACTATACATATATAAAGGAAAAACGCAGTCAAAATAAGTGCTGACTCAACTTCTGCGTTTTAGTACAAATATGTGTTGTGTGCAGAAACATGGCTAGAAAAAACTGTAAAAAGACATGACGTTTGGCTTTTAGTCTCAGTTTATTTTTGTCATAAACAGCTTATAAACTATAACAAATATGACCCTAGTCATTAGCTCCTTTTTCGGTGTTTTAAGTGATACTCAATGCAGCTGCATGTGCTCATTCGCGTTTTCTCTAGGCTTCCTTACTGGAGGTTTCATGACGTTAGTTGTCCTGTACACAATAGTAGGCAGCATTAATAGACATGCATGCGAATATTATGACTTTTTTTTTTGCAAACGTGCATAACCACGTATTTTATAACATAATTATCTAAGAATATATAGCTCGATTTGGATATCTTTGCCATTTTACCCCTCTAGTTCAGAGTAGAGACGGGGTGTTTCAAACAGACATATTTGAATATGTTTTTACCTGTATTTGATTATCTCATCTCAAAATCAAATTTTTGGAGGAGGGGTCTATATCAAGATGAATAAGAATTCCATGTTTCAGGGG